GCTGAGTTCAACGTCGTCACCGTCGATTGACAGCGTCAAGACGCCATCGACTGCCTGCACGAAGTGTCGAGCCCTTCCTCTATCAACAACCAACATCGACAGCTAGAGAATGGCAGGACACCGAGAACTCAGGGCGGGCACTGATTACTCATCGGTCGGAAGAAGTAGGCAGAACCATGAAGTAGGAAGGCGTTGAAAGCAGACTGCGTGTCCGCCCGCCCCCTAAAGAGAAGGGAAGAGGGGAAGCCACTCGATCATTGAAGTAGATTGGGATCTGAGACTCCAACAAATACCTACGCTCAACGACCGATGGGCCCCTACCCACCAGGGGGCGAGGCGAGGCCTCTGGCTGTGGGCTGCCGCCCTGGCACCCGCGGTCACGAGGGCGAGGCGAGGGGAGCGCGCAGTGGGGGAGACCACGGGGCCAAAAGAATGAGGTGCATTGAGCACTGGGGGGAATCATCCACGTGCGGAGGGATCCTCCTCCTCCTCCTCCTCCTCCTCCTCCTCCTCCTCATCATCATCATCATCATCATCATCATCATCATCATCGTCATCATCATCATCCTCATCATCATCATCAGCATCAGCATCAGCATCAGCATAATCATCCTCATCATCACCACCATCATCCTTGTCATCGTCATCATCATCATCATCATCATCATCATCATCATCATCATCATCACCATCATCACCATCATCATCATCCTCCTCCGCCGCCTCCTCCTCCTCTTCCTCTTCCTCCGCCCCTTCCTCTTCCTCCTCTTCCTGCTCTTCCTGCTCATCCATCCTCCATCCACGTGCGGAGGGATCCAGGATCAGTCCCACTGGATGGATGATGATCCCCCCTCTCGTGACAGGGTGAGGGCATGGACTCGCGCCCGCTGCAACTGCCAGACCTGGCAAGGAGCCAGCAAACGGCGGCAATGCCATCCGGATCGGCCTCTCACGGCATGTGGCCCGAGAACCAGACTGTCCAAAACGAGTGGCAAGGCATCAGACTCAGCAGGGCGAAGGGTGGGACATGCAAGAATGCCAGCTCACAGAGGGCCACAGGAGGATGTCCAGTCCAGGGATCCCCCCCAAAGGGGAGGGAGACAGAGTGAACGTCCTTCCCCTCGCACCCTCCCACCCCCTGTGGCCCCCCCTGTGATTCCCTCACAGGGTAGATGTCGGCTTCCACGCAAGGATGACCCTAGGCAGGAGCGACCCTTGGGGCGCGGGGAGAGGGGAGAAAACCAAGCGCGCAAACCCGCTGCTGCGGCGGCATCGCACCCCATCCAGCGATCGGTGGACCCCAACGGTCCCGCACCGAAGTTTGGACGCCCGCGATGGGTAAGTACGGAAAAAAAGCGTACGAACAACGAATGTCGTCCCAAACCGACAGCGGCCGCAGCGGGGCAGGCGGCCCTCGGTCTCACATGGGCAGCGTCCGCGGCGGCACCGACGGCGAGCCCTGTGAAAAAGAGGAGCAGGAGATGTGGTCGGTCTTTGCACTCGCGCTCCCTCCGTACTCCAGATTTCGTAATAAAAGGGAGGGGGTCTCAACCCTCCCAGACGAGAAGTTTTAGACCCCCCCCCTGGGAGAACCCTCCAAAACATCGTCCCCCAGACCCCCCCAGGCCCTCCAAGA